TTATTGAAAAATTTAATTAAACACAAAATAATAAGACGTATTTAAGAAGTATTGTACTTAAAATCCCCCTTACATATTAGAATATATTTAATTACTTCTTTGAATGTCAAACATTTTTCCAAAAAATTGAAGAGAATGAAAGCTATAATTACACTCATTTTAAAATATAAAAGAAATGTCACATACATTCTTCACTATAGGCAAATTTTTATCATAAAATAGTTGAAGTAAATAAAAGGTGATTATTTAAATTTGGGGTTATAGTTGGCGGTGATATGAGTGTGTTGTGAACGGACCACAATTTTTAGTACACCCGGCGAGCTGTCAAATGTCAGATTAATAACTTTCAATACGATGGTTCGTTCACAATCGAACTTTCATGAATAGCTTTGACACCGAATTAAAAAAAAACACTCGTTATGTAAAAAGTACAGTCTTAACATAAAGCGCAATTGTCTAATTTTTGTACAGCACGATTTTCTAAATTTTTTATGAATTAATATTTTTTTAATCAACTGTGAGAATTAAAAAAAAATATAGTAAGAATCAATATAGGTTATATACAGCCTGTCCCAGCGAGTTGAAACAGTCCATTAGTAACCTTTAAATGGTAAAATAAAAAAATATATACAGAATGTGCCAAATCTCGCGTCCCAGAAAAAAATTCAAGTAAGATAAGATACCAGGAATATGAAAAAAATGTTTAAAAAATTCTGTCTGTCGAAAAAAATTGACATTTATTGTCCCTTCTTCTTTACGGTGGTAAAAAAAATATTTCTAGATGTCTTAGTTTTTGTATAATAAAAAAAAGTGCATGTTTACGTCAAAAAAAGTCTTATTTTTAAAACTAAGCAAAATCGACAATAAAAGGTACAACAGTTTTGCCTATAAAAGCCACAAATAACAATGAAGAGAGTTACAATTTAGGATACTACAAAAACAAAAACTAAGACATCTAGAAATATTTTTTTACCACCGTAAAGAAGGTACAATAAATGTCAAATTTTTTTGACAGATAGAATTTTTTAAACATTTTTTCCATGTTCCTGGTGTCTTATCTTGCTTGAAATTTTTCTCTGGCGCACTCTGTATATCGGAATAAAATTTCATGTCCTGAGTCTTGTTTCTGCAACAAAAGCAACAACGCTATTGCTTTGAAAAATATTTATTACATCTTTGGAAAAGTACAAAATTAAATATTTCACTTATCCTAACTTATGTAGGTACAAGCCTAAAATCGTAATTGTATAATTTTTTTAATTTTTACCGTTTAAAAGTCACTAATGGACTTTTTCTAATGGACACTTTGTATAGGTCACTTTCCCTCACACATTTGGAACTTTTGAACTAAAAAACCTGAAAAAGTTTTATAAAACTGTAATTTCCTATTTGCAGAATACTTAACAAAGCCCTCATTTTGTCTTGATTCCCTCCATTTCGACGTTATTAAGAACGATCCACTTATTTTTTAGGTGTAGCTGTCAATGCGAGATAATAAATTGCTCAAGAACTCCTCATGAATGAAAGAACAGTGGCGGCGCGTCTTAAGATTTGATGCAACAATAAAATCGTTTACAACAATAATAAAGTTAAGTGATGTTTAACGTGCGATTCGCTCTCTAACTGTTATTGCGCGGGTGACAATTTGTGCTTTGTTTGACAGTTAATTATAGTGCGAATGGATTGTCGTGGAATTACATTGTGGTAGATAGAGGACTTAATGGGTAAGTGCTGGTTAGAGTCGGAGATGGATTAAGTAATTAATGCGATTATGCTAATCACGAGGCGGACACTTAATTGCTACTTATTCAGTCAACTTTTTCGATGATTTATTTCACGAATCATTAGAATAGGATTAAACAAAATTGAAAATTTTGCACATCAATCATTTGGAAATTACTGGGTTTGTCTTCGCCGGATGTATCTTAATTTTCTTTCAGAAATTCTTTAATAAACAAATCAAATACCAAATTTATGACGAATAAAAATACACACATTTTTGTGAAAATTTTGTTTACTTAGATTGGAAATTTTAATTGGCGGATCTACGCGAATATCGAGAAAGGGATGACCTCCATATAATTGTTTTTAATTTCAATATTTGCGTTTTAAATGAAATTAGATCTAAGGAAAGTATTAGTGACGAATTTAAGTTTCACTTTTATTCCGGATATTGGATATACCGGGTGATTCAGACCACTGACATAATAATTTGACTTAATGTAGTGACAGGAATTTACAATTAATTATTGTTAAATACAGGGTGAGCCCTAGAGAAAAAGCAATAAATAGGGTATTCCGATTAATTTTTTTAAATCATTGAACTTTTATTAACGCCTTTATTTTTTCATCTTTGCAAATACAACACACTAAAAAAATGTTACAACCTTATAGCTTGTACCTTCTTTTTTGCGGTAGTAAAATTTTTTTTTTAGATGTCTTAGTTTTTGTGTAAAAAGTGCATGTTCTCGTAAAAAAACCGTCCTATTTTTAAAACTAAGCAAAATCGATCAATAAAAGTTTAGTTTAAAAACATTATCATAAAAATCTACATCCAAAAACTCTAAACATTTGGTGTTTCATTTAAAAAAACACAAGTTTGTATTGTAACTTATTTTTGAGACATGTTGTATAGTCCACTAATGGACTTTTTCAACTTGCTGGGACACCCTGTATATTTATTTAACGTTATTTTGTATACAAGATTATCAGAATAACACTAAATAGACATAAAAAAATGTCAAACGTTAAACAACAAATTTCAAAATTTTTTGACAGATAGATTTTTGTATTTATACTACATAATTATAAAAAAAACATATATAAGATCATAAAAAAATATCAAACGTCAAAAAATAAATGTCAAAGTTTTCGACAGATAAAATTTTTTAAACATTTTTTTCATGTTCCTAGGATTTTATCTTACGTGGAATTTTTTCTGGGACCGAGTTTTGAAACACCTTGCATAGCCAAACAAAACCAATAAATAAATGTATAAAATTTGAAAAATTTTCGTAACAAAGTGGTTAATAATATCAAAGTACTAAGTACTTAAAGTTTTCGTACAGTTGTCAAAAACACGAAACATAATTCTGTTAAAACATCTCTAAACTCTAAAATTTCTACACAGATAATTAGATAAAACAGTAAGAAATAACAAACATTAAGTAATTTTAAAACGTAACTCTACTAGACTATTGTTAAATAAAAGGGACTTAATTATTGTCAACTCATTAACTGCAAGTAAAAACCACGAACAAAACTGTTAAGGTACAGAAATGCTTAGAACAGAAATTGCAGTATTTGAGTTGTCAGAAAACAAATTAAAAAAAAAGACAACACAACCTAAATCAGAAATTTTGTTACTTGACAATTATAAAACTAACAAATAGTTATAAAAAAAGTTAAAAATAAGCTTTAAAATGTTTGAAGACTAAACACAGATGAATTTAAAACAGCATATTCTGTATTTGACTTGTCAGAAAAAAACTATGTAATATGCATAAAATACTGAGTTAAAATGAAAATTTGCAACTTTTTGAAAACAAAATACACAAGAGTTTAAAACAGAAATTTTTGAATTTTACAGCTGAAAAGAGAAGAATTACATAAACGACATTTTTACTTGTGATTACAAGTACCTGAAAAATATATTGCAAAGAAATCTAAATCAGAAATTTTTGCACTAGGCAATAAAATAAGTTGTCAATATGAAGAATTATTGAAGACAAAATACAGAAGATATTATAACAAAATTTTATGTATTGTACCTATTAGAAAATAACAAAAAATATAGAAATTTTTATATTCGACAAAGATATAAAATAATATTCTGAAACAGAAATTTTCCATGTCTTTTTGTGTGAAAAGTGAGGCAAAATGTCTCTGCCAGACGTTTGAAATTATATACTTCATGACTAAAAAACGGAGCAAGGGACAGAAATTTCTATACATTATAATTTTGAGAAAGGAGAAAAATTTGAGATAAGTCAATTTATAAAATTATATGAAAATAATAGGTCACACTACACACTAAAGCCAGGAATTTTTCTATTTAACAGTTATCAGAGTAGAATAAGATGTCTTCAAAATATACCTAAAATTATTTTCTATGAATATAAAGTGACAGGTTTTATAGCTTGGATGAGAATTTATGTTTCAAGATCTGGAGGTTTTGACCCATTTTTGGTAATAATAATTTGAAATCAGAACTGAAAGAGATAAAAATTCGTCTTAATTATTTCATCATCCGGAACAAGTTTATAAGCAGCGAAAAACAAAATTATTAAAAATTTTAATCACCGAATGAATTTCTTCTTTTGTTGGCCGCTTCTTGTATGTCATGCCCGCCCGAAATTCGGTTAATATCCTCAATTATAATTACATATGTTGCTTTTAACCTGATTGTATGAATCAGTTACACTTAACAACTACATGCATAATCACAGGTCTCACATGAAATCGTATGACCCAATTAACATAAGCATTACTTAACTTCCAGAGCGTGATCTTTTAGCCAAAACTATTCAAAAATCGAACCGTTCTAATTGTCAAAAGTTAAAAGTGCCTTAAACCCCTCTTCGCCCCACTTACTCCTTTAATAAAGGTTTTGAAGAAAATCAAGTTAAAACTTGCGCAACTATTGATGTTTGTTTGTCAAAAATCGCGTCAACGATCCATAAAATAATACATAATTTCGATTGAAGAGATTCGAAAGTGGAAGAGCGACAAGGGACCTGTTAGAAAGCTACGAAGATAATAAGAGTAAAAATTCGCCAAAGATGCCTCCAGCTTGCAGCGAAATAGAAGATTAATTTTAAAATTGATTCGTCTCAAAAGGCTGTAATTTTAATAATTGATTAAACTTTCTTAATAAAAAGCAATCAAGGAAAAACGAAAATAGCAATTAGCTAAATCAGCAAAAGAAAAGTCGATTTTTTGGATCAGTTAAGTAACAGTTTGTCGTTTATTTGTTTGTTCCGCTGCTTGCTTCTTAATTAATTTGCATATCTTGTGAATGAAAATTTTCTCAACAATTCGAAACGCACGTAGAAATGTTTTTTCACGTTAATTGACCAGTTTGAGTTTTATTATCATAATAATTTATTTGTCGTACATATGGTGCTATTAAATGAAAATAAATATCAACTATCAAAATTGATAAATGGCTGTTATAAATATGATAATTAATGTTTTGCCTGTTTTGATTGATAAATGACCTGAGTCGAAAATTTGATAAACCGCCATAACTTTTCCTAAATTCAGACAAGGTGTTATTAGGTGATTTATCAAAGTTTTGATAATTTGATAGAAAGTATCAAAAATGCGCCGATGTGGAATCAACTCAAGTGTGAAGCGTTAACTAACCGGAAATCATACAAAATTAGAAAAATCATAATTATTGATCTGTCAGTAACTAACGTAATAATTTATAAACACAATTAAAAAAACCGTTACAACGATTGTATCTCCCCAAAAAAGTTATTTCGGGGGGCAAGTGGGAGTGTCCCCCATAAAAACCAATTTACTTTTTGAAGTCTCACCGGTTGTAAAATAAATTTACGTTCTCGCATTTGCAACAAAGTCGGTGATTTTTTCAAACCTCAGTCATATACGTTTTAATTGGCCCCTAAATCAGATAGAGGAATTTCAAACCGATTTACTTAGCATCGTGTGTGGCCGAAAAATAAAATTTCTGTGAAAAACTGATTGATTTCGACAACAAAATAATTGCACAGTGTATTATTTAAATTGTCAAGTATTTTTTATTAGTGAAAATAATAAATGCACTATAAAAATATTAAATGCACGGTAAAGAAAATTAATGAATGTCTAGCAAAACTAATTAATTTAATTTCACACATTTGCAAACAAAATGTTTCTGAGCAAAACTGGACTGTCGCAAACTGTTTAAAAACAAAATTGTGGTATCAGGAGTACAGCAGTTTAAAAAGTGACGTACGCTGATTAGACTGATTACCATTTGTGCACAGTTTCCAGCCCTTGCTAAAATCATTCTTGCGCAGGGGCCATTCATTGTTATGTAAGCAAGACTAAAAGTTTTTTAAATTTTGTGTTATTTTGCTAATTTTGATTAAAGTAACTGAGCGTTGATTATTTTCATTGTGCAAATTGGATGTTTTACTGAACAAATTACAATAAAATACTGCGCATGCTTTACTTAGCATTTATTATTTTTACTGTGCAAAATATTATATTATACTGATCATTTTAATTTTTTTGCTGTGCAAAAATTAATTAAATACTGATCATTTATCATTTTAACTGATCAAAATTGAATTATTTACTGAGTGTTTTATTACTAACCACTGATTTCTATGACGGATTTCTCTCAGCTTTTTCGATATTTTCTCTACGCACTTGGCGATAATTGTCACCACATATGTAATTGTAAAACACGCCACTTGCGAGAGAAAACTGCGACAAACGTGCGGAATTACAATTTCTTTGCGAATTAATCGACGCGATTGTGAGGTTTTTTGTGATTGTGGAAAGCATCTGCAATTCCAATTAAATTTTACTTCGATGAACTTTTACGGAGGAAAAGATTTTATCGGGTCATAGGAGGATTTTCTAGAGTGTGTTATGCTATAGGGAGATTTTTTTAATCAAGAGATGAAAGTGTGGCATTGCTGGGTTAGAGGAATCTCGGAGATGGGAAAAAATTTAGTTAACATAATCTTATGGCTAGAGAAATGAAGAT